AAGGGCGAGGGGGGGCAGGGGACGGGTCGCTGGCATCCTAGGGGGGGACGGGTGGTGGGCGGCGACTGCCGCATACCGTCCTATGGCGGTGAGTATCGCTACGCCAGGGAGGACAAGGACGTCGACGTGCAGCAGCTGCTGTTCGAGTCGTTCGGTGGGTTCGGAAAGGGGGTCCGCGAGATCCTCTGGAAGGCGGCGAACGTGCTGCAGAACAAGCTGACGCGGGCCCAGTACCTCGACGAGATGACTTGGACCACCAAGAATTGGCTAGGGCTGCAGAAGCAGCGTATCTCAGTCGTTCTTCACACGGCAATCGCAGAGCAGATTGTGAATGAGCTTGCCTGCGGCGAGGGCGGTCGAGTGCACGGAGCTAAGTGCCTCGCCGTCCTCGCAGGAGTCGCTTAGGTTGGCCGCTTTGTGTACTGTCCACTATGAAAGTGTGGACCCGCGTGAACAGCAGCTCCTGACCACGGCGCCGCAGGCGCCTGTTGATAGGTCCAGATGATAGCCCTGGATAGGCAATGCATACGCCTAGTTGGGCCTCGGATCGCCCGACCGCGTCCCGGTGCTCTGTGGTCGGATTTGTGACGCCGCCGCACCGCGCCGCGGCCGGGGGCCCTCCGGAGGCCGAGGATGGCCGTGACGGACCGGGACGAGCTCTGGGAGGTAAAGTGTCAGTGTATATATTGTAGAGACCAACCATGCCCACAATATCTCTCAGCCTAGCTAAGCCAGGGAAGGCGATGCCGGGGCCGTCCAGCAGCTTGATGATGTTTCGCCGGCGTTAACTTCAAACAAAGCCACCGCACACGCCGCGACGCGGCGCGTGCGGTAGGCACTCGGGATTTTGTCAGATCGGCGTGTTTACGCCGGGATCGTGTCCTGACTAACCTGGGCAGACTTTAGGCTTGGACAGTATATCTCGAGACCTCGAGAGAAGGCCGCCCGCAGGCAATCGCTTAGGCGGCTCCCGTGGTGTACCTGTACCTGTGTTAGTGCCAGTGCGCGCCAGTCCCGTGCCCAGTGTCGTGCGACGGAGTTTGCTTGTAAAATTATTGGCTGGTAAAATTCTTTTATGAATGCGCGCCAGTCCCGTGCCCAGTGTCGTCCGAGGGACATCGTAAAATTCTTTTATCAATGGTGTACCTGTGTTAGTGCCAGTGCGCGCCACAGTCAGTCCCGTGCCCAGTGAGCAGTGTCGTCCGAGGGGGTTTGCTTGTAAAATTCTTTGCCTGGTAACATTCTTTACCAATGCGCGCCAGTCCGTGCCCAAAGAAAAAAAGAAAGAAAACAGAGAACCCAAGGGAGGGATGGGAGGACGGCACGCCGCCACCACAAGTCCCGTGCCCTTGGAGCACTTGGAGTGCAGTCGGTAGCCTCACATGCAGCCCGGTAGCAGTACTCGAGTAAAATTCTTTATCAAAACGGCGCAGAGAAAGCCGCGGCTCCAAAATCCTGCTCGTGCAGGTGTGGACCCTGATCCCTGTCCTCCTCCCCTATCGTCCCTCGTTTGGCCTGCCTGTTTTCTTTCTTTCCTGTGTTAGTGCCAGTGCGCGCCAGTCCCGTGCCTAGTGTCGTGCGAGTGAGTTTGGTGAAAATTTCTTCTTTCAGTCCGCGCCCTTGTCGTGCCAGTGTGCGGTGAGAGGGCGCCGTCGAATTCTTTCTTTCAGAACGCCGCGGGTAGCGAAGGGAAGGGAGTCGGGAAGGCGCCCCGCTGTCGTCATCGTGGCGACGGACGTCCCGGGCGGCGCCATGGAAACAAGCGTCGCGGCCCGGCGGCGCCCCGGTGTCCTCGTGGCGACGGCTCTCCTCCTGGCGCTGCTCTGGTCGACGGACGTGCGCCCGCCTCAGCGCATAAATGATGTCACACGGGTGTATGACGCTCTCCTCGGCGACGAGCGAGAGACCTTTATCGACGAGAGTGGGCAGCAGATTCAGATGTCGTGCCACCCGATGTACCGATGGCTGGATAGGCTGATGCAGGGCATGATGCAAAAGGTGATCGGCGACGTCAGGCACTCGCGCCGCATCAAGACCCTACCCTTCAAGGCGACGGTCCACGTCGGGCCGTCAGAGACGGACATCGAGTCGATGCACCTCCAGGACGTGCGCGTAGCACGCGTCGACTTCACCGACTGCCGCACGGCACGGGAGCAATCGCTCTCCTTCCTGCCGCGCATGCTTCCCAACGTCATAAAGATGCGGGTCCGCGGCATCAACGTGACGCTCGATTTCGAGTTCGACACAACCATATTCGGCTTCGAGGCGCAGGCGGGGCAGGCGCGATCGACGGTCGTGGGAGAGATGAATCTCACGCTGGCGCTCCTCACCTACGACGACTGGCACGTCTCGGACTGCTCCG